TGGCCTCCTTTAATTCACCATTTTTGTATTTGCGAGTAAAGACATAAAAAGCGCTAAACACAAAGTTAAGCCGAGATTAACAAGACTGACATTACTGTCACAGAGCACTTAGAATAAATTATCATTTTTTACTGATTTGATTTTTTTCACAAGAAAGAAAATCTCTCCAGTTACAGACAACTCAACCAAAGTCACAAAAGTCAATTTAATGGTGTTTCAGGAGGACATGTCAGAAGATAACCACCAAAATCTGGAAACGTTATTGCCATCTTATAGGAACCATTCCAATAGTTGTTGAGATATTTCAGTTTAGAACAAAATGCAATGTACAACCAAAACAACTCCATGTCAAATTTGATGTATTGTTGTGTTGCACATCAGTATAAAGACAAAGCTTTGTGTATTGTATTGTATGCTTTCTTCTATTTTAACATGACCACTGATTATATACTGTATATTAGGAACCAAATGTTTCAGCGAGAAGAGTCTCAGCAGGACAATCTCAATGCATTGTCATTAAAGTGTCCACACTCAAAGCAGCATTTAACAGGGACAAACAACCACTATTTAACTTGTTCATATGAATAATCCTCTAATTGAACCAATGTGGTTAAATTGCAGTGGGGGGGGGCTGCCTTTGAGAAGCCAATAACAGAGTTGACAGGAATCAAAAGCACGTATTCCCTAAAAGTACAGTTATTGTCATGGGGAGGGTTTCCATATGCATAAACACTCATTTAGCCTGGGTGGAGGCTATACGTGTCTATTCAGAGATAAATATTTGCCATTATGTTTCTCAACTTAAAGAAGGTGAACATTAGTGTGTGTAACCTTTAATTATCTGCAGCACAGAAGGGAGGAGGAGCAGCTCACTGTTGGTATATTTTACGACAGAGATCCCTGAAGTGAATCATACAGCGTGTGGAAAAAAAAAATCATATTAGGCTTTAATCCAAATGCAGAGATAAACCCTGAACAATGACCGAACATACAAGCCGATAACTAGGTTAAAAGAGATTCTGGATGCAAATTGAATGAAAATGCAAAGCAGAGCACAACAGATTGTTCTCGCTCTCTGATGATGATGCAAAACAGCAGAGCAGGACAAGGACAGAGAAAAGCCCTCAGGGGGAAAAACACAACATCTGAAATTTCAAGCCAAGAAACATGTCTACTGCTAGAGCAGCAATGTCCCATAAAAATACGAAAAACAACTACACACAAAGCGCGGAGAACAAGGGTAACGAGAGCTGAAGACTGAAGAGTAGTGTAACTGTCGCTACCTCTGTTTATTCAAGGGTTCGGAGAGTCTTTTGTAAAGAAAAAAGGGTTGATGGGAAAAGAGCATACACTACAGTAGAAGGGGTGAAAAATGGCCCCTAGCTGTGAGCTTGTTTAAGAGTTCATCTGTGGCTCTAAAAAGCAAACGTGACGCAATGTAGCTTTCCACAATAATGTGTGGAAAGCTACAACACCCGTTCTATCTGTTCACTGTGAAATTCATCCTCGCTCACAAAAACAAAAGCACCACAGCCGGAAAACTTTAACATTTAAGGAATTATACATATTCTGCACATAGTAACAAGAGAAGTTGGAGAGCATTAGCTTAGCATAAATACAGATAACAGCGAGCCCGGTCAGTTCAAACCAAAGCTTTCAAAGTACCTTACAGCACCAGAATGGGTATTTTTTTAACACACACTAACACTGCTGTGTTATGGATATTAACCATCAGTACCTCTTCTTCAGAGCTTTACTTTCCTGCACTTTTTGGCCTTTTTGCTAAACTAAGCGAAGTGAAGCTGATAGTCTGCTCGCTCGCTTGAGACATCACACTTAATAAGTATGAAAATTTAACAAACATTTGATTTATCGTCAAAAAATGAGCTGCTGGGATCGAATTGTTCTATCAAGGTCGCGAGAAAAGACAACTTTAGCTTCTCTGTGATTTCTGTGCTGTTGTTCATGGTTCTACATAACGTTGATAGACAGCATCATGTTTTGATTCTATCTTAACACATATATGTCAAATACATTGAGTAATAAAAGGTAACATTCAAGAGGCTCAAGACTTCATCTCTCTATCCAATAAAGAGCTTTCCACACAGCTGTGTTCAAAGTACAAATGTTCAATATCCTTCTTAGGCTTTTCCAAAGGAGTTCACTGTACACTATGCTCCTTGTGTTTGTGCATAGAAGAAAGTAAGCGCCTTGATATACTCCCTGCTGTAAGGGAATCCACATACAGGAAGTACAATACAGAAGAGATGAGATTCAAGGAAGGAAATTAACTTTCTATCAGACACGAGGAAGAGGATCAGAGAGTCATTGCATCAGTACATCACGGCTTTCAGATGCAGCCTTTGAACAGAGAAAAACAAGCTGCATTGCAAACAAGCTCCAGCAGGCAAATAAGGTTGTTGTGCAAAAAATATAAAGATGGTGACGTGCAACGTTGCACATGGAGCACGGTGTTTTGTTGTAGTACAGTCGGAAAATAAGACAGAAAAACAAAAAAGCAGTGACAGCCGTGACCCGGAGCGACGTCAGGAAAGGGCAGAAGTGCAAAAGAGTGGAAAAGAGAAAGGAAATCAGTGCCGGGGGGAAAAAGAGGAACAATGGAAAGACAGTCTGAAGAAGGAAGTCTGAACTGTAACAAGCCACGAGCCAGGCAGAAATCACTGACACACACACACACACACACACACACACACACACCAGGGCAGATCACACCATCAGAGTCAGGCTCGAGTGCTGCAGCAGGCAGACTAAACAGTCCAAATGTTCACTCGAGAGCACTGCAGTTCACAAGTCTGTTAATAAATCAGTGGAAGTTTAGCAGCTAGATTGGAGCCTGATTGGTGTTTGCTCAGCTGTCACACAATTGTAGATGTCAAAATGTCATTGTTCTTCAGCTACTGACATCAAACAAGAGAAGCCAAAAACAGAAGTTACCCTCTGCTGGTTCAAACAATTACACTGCTGTCAATGTCCTCTTTGGCTAATTAACTTCTGTTCAAGTGACTTTCATACATCTTATAATCATTCTTTTTTTTTTTTTTAAAGGAAACTTGAGGGTCGCAAGAAAGTTTAGTGACAGACACAGAGCGTCCTGTAACCATAGCAACAGACTCAAACGTAACCTCGTACCAGAGAGACAGGGCAATAGCAGGACGCTGTGCTGCTGACTGATCCCTCCAAACTGCATGTACAGAAAGAAAGAAAAAAAACATCCTTAATGTACAGTTGGATTGTGCAGATTTTCTTGGCTGCTGAGTTTTTGGGCCTTGGTGACATCAAAGCTGATTACAGCCTTCATGACGAAAACACAAGGGGAAAAAAAAAAAAGCCCTAATTGAAACCGGATCATTCTTTATTAACCCAACGTTGCTTGCTGTGCCATTAGCTAGTGGCTAACAACACACCTCTGACAGCTTATTACACCCCCCCTTCTTTGAAAATGTGTTTTTGCATATGTCAATGATTCAAATGGGTCATGCCTGCTAATGACGATCACGTGCCATGATCAAAAGCTCTGGAACTACTCGAGTGTCCTTTTCATGTTGAATTGTTTTCTTAACTGCTCTGTTAAAGGCTAATAATAAAAACCTGAACCGCAGTTTAAACTACATCGGGGTAAAAACAAATGAACTAAATTGGAAAATTTGGGAATCTACCAATCCATTGCAGCAAAGCAAAAGTTAATCTGCTGATGAAGATCACATGATATGATGGAAAGCTTCAGAACAGGTACTCCATTCCACTTGTGGTGAGATCATAGGCTTGTGGTGTAAAGTAAAATATACCAACAGTTTTCCAACAGTAACATGTTGGTGCACCAAATGATAAAACAATAAAGTGCCTGGTTATGAACTAAACCAAAACACTTTCAAGAACTCATTAATTTAAGACAGAGCATCATTTTAGGCTTCCCACGTCAGTCCTCTTTAATGCTCAACATGAAGTTGATCAAAGAGTAAGAGCTGTGATTTAAAGTCCTGAGTTTTTATATGTGGGTGGACAGAGACCAGACAAGACATCTGGTCCAAGATTAGACCAGCGTGTTTAAGACCGGCTTAAGACTCCGGTGGCCTGGAACACTGAAGGGTTCCAGACTCAACCAATTAAGGCCGCTCAACTTTAACTCCATGCTCACTGTATGAACCCATGATCTGCCAGCGCTGTGTACATCAGACCAGTAAAGCCTGCAGGAGAGGGCTTACAAGGTCTGGAGCTGAAACAACTCGCCAAGTGACAGATAAGTGATCAAACAGGATACTATCCGGCAACAGTTAGGATCATTTCATAATGTTGTAGGTCAATAATCAAAGCAAAAAGTGAACCGTTCCCAGCTTCTCAAATGTGATTTATTGTCTTCTTTAATTGCTAATCCACTCAGTCTGGGGGTTTGAAACCACTTAAATATGTATACTTGTGCTCTGGGAAATCACAATGGCCAGATTAATTAAGATAAAGAAAATAATTGTACGCTACAGTCCTCAAAAAGTCTCAATTCTAAATATTTCGCTTTGATCTGAATTATGATCTGGGAAAGGGAGATGGGGGGATACAATAAATAGTGCTGGCGTGGGAGATTTACAAGAGGTGATATCTATCATCTGAGTTTATGTAGAGTTGTCCCAAGACTCTTCATCACTAGGATAACTTCAGATCAGAGTGGACTGTCCTGTGTGATGTCTCAAACTTGCGCCTCCAGCTGGCACATTTACTCTCGAGTCAGGTCATTTGCCAAATTCAACCTTTAACTCTGATGAGTCAAAAGAAAGCATCAAACAAAGATGTGCTGCCCTGAGGATCAAAGTCATAAGAGCTCATCTGTTCCCTTTTCTCAACTCAATTACACAGAGTGTCTCCTGCAGAACAAAGCATTCAGGTGACTCATTTTTTAAGATGCTGACTTGTCCAACAGCTGGCCTGAGTATCGATGCTGGCATGAATATGGAAAGGATCAATAGCTGACTTTATTGACTTTTACTTACTGAGGCGTAATCTGAGCCCGAGCCAGCTCCTTGGTGGCGATTTGTGCAGAACTGAATTCATGGTCCACTTGTTTGGCACCATCTATGCATGCAGTCCTCCTTGAATAATCCCCCCTGCAGAAACACCAGCAGCTCCTCACGGCTCTGCGTGAAGGGTCGAGGCTGTGGACTCAATGGAATCACCCAGAAATGTTCAATTTAGCAGTCTTCTCTATGACATGTTCTTCTCGATTTCTGCAGCCGACCTCCCCACAAAGCAGCAGCGCACGAAGCCCTTTTGGATCTGCTGGTCGGTGGCGAGCACAAAGCTGCAACTCACATCACGGTGAATGCACGGGGGGGGAAAAGAGTGTCACAAAAAAGCATCCATAGGTTGTTTTTTAAATAAAAAAAACAAAAAGGTACCCCCAGGTCTACCAAGCAGCGAGGTACAGCTTGCAAGTTGGACGCCGTGTTAAGCTGTAAATAACCTGTTGCTGGCGAGAGAAGAAAAAAACAGATATCTTCTCGACGTCCAGAGAAAACGTCTGCTGATGAAGCTCGGTCGCTACGGGAATAGGATTACGAGGGGGGAAAAAAACCTTCTTGTGCGCCTTCAAAGAAGTAAATCCGCGGATGGGATTCCGTCTAGTAACTTTGGACAACGTGCTGCCGGAGTTGAACACATTTTCTCCGCCGCTTCGGTCTCTCTCTCTCTCTCTCTCTCTCTCTCTCTCTCTCTGGTCAACCATCGGCTCCCCCCCCCATTCATTCACACAACCTGGATCCACAAAGACTGAATGCAGTTTGTCTCTCAAGTGGCGCAGAGCTGAAGCTAGAGGCGCCAGAGACACCAAAACACCAAGTCCATTCAAAAACATCCAAAACCAGGTTTGCAATGAGTTTCTGTTATCACCAACAAAGTTATATCTGATATTACTACAAAAGCATTGGGGGGGGGGGGGGGGCATGCTATGTAGAGTAGCCTACCTCTATATCAGGGATGGGCAACTTCGTTCACAGCAAGGGCCACATTCATTTAAATCTGACTGCCAGGGGGCCAAATTGTAGGATACAAAAATGACTCCAATCAATTATGTCTCAAATTTAACTCAACATATACCAGTGAGCAAATATATTTTCTGGGTTTTATGATTTCATGGCAGATTTTGTCATGTTTTCTTTTTGGATGTTTCCAATTAATTGATATATAAAAATTGACCTGAGGGCCACCTTGAGGGTTGATTGGGGCCGCATGTGGCCCCCGGGCCACCAGTTGCCCACCCCTGCTCTCTCTCTCTCTCTATATATATATATATACTGCACATTATAATGCGGAAGAAAAGTCTTGAATTGAACAAAAAATGTAGCAACATGACCTACCTGGCAAAGCAGACCCCAGGTGTTCCTCTTGCTACCTGCCAGGCTTCCTGTTGTTGCCAAACACATATTTGGCAGTTGCAAAAAAACAATACATAATATTTGCATTACTTCTAAACGGACAGTGGGCTTTCAACTTAAAAACAAAAACAAAAAACGGCTACATTAAAGGCAGAAGGACAGAGGTTAAAGATACATGAGGGAAAGTTGGCACTCTCAAAGTTAGCGGTCATAGAAGTGACGGGGGAATGCCACCTAACAGCAACACACACTGCTTTATTTATGTTCATTAAATACTTTTAATATTTGGTAAATCTGTATATAAAGTTAAGACTTGTTGCTCTATTTATCATTTTTTTTCTGACACACACACACACACTTTTTTCTGTTTATTTGTTGATTACTGTTGTTATTGTTTTGTATCGATGCTTTGGCAATATTGTTTATGCCAATAAAGCTTTCTAAATTGAAATTTGAATTGAATGTCTCTTTCATTCTTGAGCCTCAGAAGGCCTTCAGTGTTTCCTGTTAAAAAATAACAATATTCATTGGATGTTTGTTGTAGAAAAACGTTAATGCAACTTCTCATAACCAAGAAGTGCAGGACATTCTCGTTGCTGTGGCCTTGGATGAATTATTTATCTGTTGAATGATACAAAAAAACAACAATATAGCCTTTGAGTTTAAATGCAGTTTCTCATCTGTGTACTGTGTTTTTAACTGAAAAAAGAATTCAAATGGTTATAATGGTAAGTTGTCTCTGCTTTATTTCAATCAACACATTTGTATTTAGGCAACAGATGGGACAGTTTGTTTGGGAGGCCAGACTTGACAGAAGTGTGACACGGAGTATTTCAGAGAAATCAAGGGTTTGATGCCAGCACAATCTTACAGTTAAAATACTGCTACACAGCTGAGAGTTCAGCACGACTTTGCCTGTTTAGGTGCCCTAAATACTTTCTCTGGATCATGTTAAAGGCTTTTAGACTGTTTTGTTTTCACTGATTCTGCCAGGAGCTTCTTGTGGGAATATTTAAGTGTAGCCCATGTATATAAAGCCAAGCAGCTAAAGCTTTTTTACAGTCCAGGCTTTGTCCTCCTTACTTTGATGAAAGGTTAACCGTCTCTTTATGACATAATCTGAGTGCTCAGTTGGAGTTTGCGAATACACGGCTGCAACATCAGATAAATTGAGGAAGGGGAAATGTCGTTCACTCCAAAAGTCTGTGGTTTTTGCGATGCTTGTTATGAAATAAATAACTTCACAGATGTGTGTTATGTCTGACCATTCAGGTTTGTATAGACTGTTGGCAGCTCTACAGAGGGATTTCTCTTTGGTTTGCACGAGGTCTAGGGGAAAACATCTGACCTGACAAAGCCAAAACAATGACTCTGCCAAAATGTGGCCGTGTTGTGTTTGTGTGCTCCCAACCTCAATAAAGAGGAGGGGGGGAGAGCAGCGAACAAAGACAAGTAAGGGGGGGGGAGAGAAGGGATGTTAAAACAGACCACTTAACAAATTAGCAATTCTTCACTGCTGGAGTGGATGTTTACAACTTGGTCCTCCTCCAGTCGTTCATTAGGAAGTATAAAGGTCTACATGCAGTAACAAGCCCTTCACATGGAGTTGGTTGTTTCTTGTTGTGCTTTTAAACCAATATGAAACATTAAAGATGTGCAGTATTACAGACCAATGTCTGAAGAGTTTTTATTACATTTTTCCTGCCTGGGAGGCTTTTTTTTTTTTTTTTTTTTTTAAGCGAACATCTGCTGTTGTTAAAAAAAAAAAAAAACTAAACATACATCTGCTGCCCCTTGAGGTCAAATTGAAAGCAAACAAAGTATTATTTAAATCGTGTCACTGATATCAAATATAAGCCTAAAGATATTTTAAACATTTAAAAAATATTTACAAAACATCTTGATTGACCTGCCAGTGTAAGAACACTAGTTTATAACAGTGTTACTCAGCAAAAATACAGAGCCATCTCAGTAGCATGTTTGTCATAGAAACAAAATACTGACTAGATGGGCTCCTTCCTTTTGTAAATCCAAAACTTGCTTACTTAAACATTTGAAAACAAAAGCTTTAATGGCATTAAACTTCTTGGCAGTGGGCATTTAGCAAATAACACGACTGTCACAAAAGTTCAAACCACTGTTTAAGTCAGCGACTACACTGCAATAATCAACAGGCGTACCCGATTAAAACGTCCATGAGACTGAAGCTAATATCATAGTTAACATTCAGAGAGAGGAAAGCACAAAGTCTGAAGAAAAAGCCGATTCTCTTTTCATTTCTGGTGGCTTTTTATTTTTTTGTATTTTTTGCAGCTTTGGAATGCTTCCTAAAGAAGAGGCATGAAACAAGAGCTTTAACTACAAAGTGTGATATTATTGTCAATGAGACGGAAAACGGTGAAATTCAAAAAAATGTCACGAGGCCATGAGATGAAACGGAGGTTGTAAGACATGTCGAGTTAGTCCAGGAACAGAAAGTCAGCCTCCTGCAGAGTCTGTGATGCTTTTGCTGTCAGACTGATCCTTGAAATCAAACTCAGTTCTGAATGTTAAATGGCCAACTCTGACTGGTTTGTGCATGAGAGGCCAGTATAGAAGGGTGAAGGGTAACAAACTGGTGCCGAGTAGAAAAAGTAATCACATCCCTATTTGACTTTGTCTTGTCATTCCCTTGAAGACTCGCAGCTTTCCTGCACCAGTGAGATCAAAACTGTAATCTGTTGTGATGTAGGGCATCTCTCCTTCAAAGCCAGGCTGAAACACAGACAACAGGCACATTAAGGGAAAAGTAAGCTTTGGATTGTGTTTGTTTATCACATCATATAGTGAAAAGTTATCGTGTTTTCAGTGCATGAACGAGCAAATCTTTTTTCTGACCTGTGATGTGATGATGCAGGAAGGCAGTGACAGCGACCCCAGTAGGAGACAGTTGACCTTACGGAGGATTGAGGGATCAACAGGCGTCAGCAACAAGTACAGACCTCGCTCCATGTCAATACCTCGAAGCACACCTAGAACACATTTACATGACGCTGGATTTTGTCATTTCAGTTCACCAACAGACACCGTTCCCTTTAAAGGCTTAATGTGCAAAACAAATGCTCTCTTTGGACACACAGCTCTCTCCCCTCCCCTCCCGTCTCCACACCTCCCATCCTATTTCAACATGCATGTGCCTGTGAGGCAGAGAGAGCCACAGACAAGTGCTAATCAACATCTGAAAACAAGATTCTGCGATCAATTTCAAGCCACAACGTGCATCTCAAAGTTGATTCTGTTGTTAGCTACTTTTTCTTTTTTAGACCACAACATGTATTTTCTTCAGTTTGGAAAGCCTGTTGTTTCTCCTTCAGGTGTACCCTTACTTTGAAACTCCCCCATTGTGCCTCTACATAGATACAGTGTCCCTGCCTTCACCCTCTTTTTATAGAGTTATTGCTCCACAATATATTTACATACGATATATTTGATTTTTTCTATACTGACTTTCAGAATTTCATATATTATACCTTTGACCCTTGTGTTCTTTTTGGGGATCCTGGAGACACTGGGTCATTCTGAACAGCTCTAAAACATTCTTTCACCACGTTGATACCTTCATCTTTGGTCAGATAAGTATAAGATAATGACACAAAGATCATGTGGTATACGTACCAAAGCCTACACATGGGCAGATGGGTGCTTGGGATAGCACGACCGGCCCTCCTCTGCTTGTGATTTTCTCTCCTAGGCAGCACAGTCCAACCAGACTGGCATTAGCAGCATAAAACATGTGACTGGGCGTGATCTCACAATGGGTCACACCTAAAGCCACCGCTGTGTGGGGCACCTATAAATCACAGAGAGGAAGGCAAAAAAAAAAACGTATTAGCACATTTTAACACGTTGCTTCTACAGACAGAGAAATTACCATATGTGATTTTATCCCAAGTAATATATAATATGCAAGTAAGAGTCTTTCTTAGCCAGGAGCAATGAAGAGTTAAAATTACAGCTGATGTTGATGAATGTTTTTGGCAAAGGACAAAAAAAAAGCTGCTTTGTCCAACACTTCTGCGTTGTTCTTTTTACTTCATGTTTTCAATGGGACATCCCCCCCCCCCCCCCCCACCTCCCATCTGACTGGGATAGTCTCCCGCTGTGAGGTGCATGTGTAAACAATCAGATCAGGAGGATTTCAGGGGCAGTCTGCCTGAAATACTCCAGAAATGATCTGGATCTATATATGGAAACGGCTTGTAGAGCACTTGTAATAATTACTTTCAAAGTGTCCCTCGGCACATCCCCAAATATCTCTGTTTAATGTCCCACTAAATTCCTCTAACCTTCTAAATTTGATCCCAGTCCATGATGCATCATCAAAATAAAGTTAAGATTCTGGAGAAAATGCCCTAGGTGCTCATTAGAACAAAACAGCTGCAGCATAATCACTCTCATTTACCTGGTACGGGGTGAGGCTGTGTAGAGGTCTAACTGGTCCAGGGTCAGCAGACTGCAGCTGGCTCAGGTAGGACAGCAATGAAAGCTCTCTGTGCTCATTGGTGCGCTGGTGTTTCCTGTTCAAAACAAAGAAAACGGTGTACATATTAAGTTTCGGATTAAATATTTTAGGATTTAAAACTCCTGTGAGGAACTTTTGGCGCCCCCCAGTGGAGAAAGCTGTACTTCTTATTTCTTTGCTGTAGCCATATAGAAATGGTGGATCTTGTTGCTGATGGTCTTGTTCACTCTTTTAGGTTAAAAGGAGGCATCACTTTTAGGTCTGTTTTAATAAGTTAATGTTAATTCAGGCTGAGGGAGGGGCACTTACGATGTTCCTTGGCGACCCACTCCTTGAAAGTCTGATTGTACGTTAAGGTGGGTGTAGCTCCTGGGGGGACTGTGGCTCTCTGTAAACTCGTCCAGAGCGGTCTGAGCAGGTGGGTGCGTCTGGTAGCCGTGTGCCATCCTTAGAAAGTCCGGAGTGAGGACGGGACACTGGGTGGTTCCCCCATGGCTGAGTTGGACCAGGTGTGAGACTGGGAAGAAGCGGATCATGTCCACCAGCAGCTGAAACCCAAATCCTGCAGACAGCCGACAAAAACTCAAGTTCAGTGTTTAAAAGGAGTTCTATTTATATTTCAGGATATTGTTTCACTGCTGCAGCAGAGGGCAGCCTGAGCTTGACCTTTGACCCAGCCCATGGTGTTGATAATAATGGGAGTCTCTCTGCTTAGGGGGCGTCTTCGCCACAGGGACTTCAGGGACTCCAGGTAGCGGTCTAGGTCCGACTCGCATGAAGACTGACCGAAGTAGATCATCTGCTCTGGTGTGCGCTGATGTGTGAAAGGAGGACCTGGAAAATAACGCATTATGAGTTTACTTTGGGGGTCTGTGTTCACCTAGAAATAAAAAAATATCAAGCAAAGAAAATCATCCAAGATTAAACAGTGAGATGTAAAGACCGGGAGGCTAGAAACATACCCAGAAGTGGTTCTCTGACAGTCGACATGGACAGACAGCCAGCAGGAGTGAACTCTGTTTGACCGATGTCTCCTTCCAAATAATCTACACTGGTGGTGCTGCAGACACAAACACACACACACACATGTACATTAGGTTTCCTATCAAGAAACAATTTTATCATCCCGTATGTTCGACAGAATAACTTCTAGAATTCCTGAATGTCCTCTACTGTAATGTTAGGGAGGTAGGTGCTACCAAGACTGTCAAGACACAGGGATGAGAATATTCAGGAGATCATGATAAAAGAGATGCATTACTGAGAATAATCTAGCAAATAATCATGACGAAACAACAGAATATCTGGATTTCTATTCAATGTGTGTGAATGAGGACTTACTGATTTAGTAAGGTGTTGATGAGGAAGCGGATGAATGTGGATTTGCCCACATTTTTGGTGCCACATACGAGGATAACAGCACAACCATCAAAGTCCCCTGAATGAGTGAGACAAGGGAGGATCAAATGTGAGTGGTGTCTTGTCTATTATAGCACACAGGTATTAAATAACAATGTTGCCTTCTTTAGAGCAACATGACAGGAATCCCACTGCAACAGGCACAATGCTTAAATGATAATCTGCAGACATGATGGTGAGAGTGAGAGTGATATATTAAAGAAATTGTTGTCTGTTCTCGAGCAGGCTGATTCAGTGAGGATTTATTTTCATTGAAAAGATCTTACTATTCAGCTCAGAATGAAGTTTTTCAAAATGTAGGGGTTATTTTATCATCATCATCAACATCTTTATTGACAGACTCGAAGTCCATTAAAAACAGATAAAAACAAACCACTCAACTGCAATAAGTGGCACATGGATGCGAGAGATGCAACATTAGAGGATGTTATATTAGTATCGTTATATATAAGTCGATATTAAATACTGAATTCTTCTGCATAGCTAATAATGTTTGGAAGTGTTCAGTAAAATGACAAGATGTCCAATAGTTATCATTTCATTTCTTATTGGTCACAGGCTTGTTGAGAAGTGAATCACATTGACTCTTTCATCTCGCTCTGTGAGCATTAAAGCTTCTGCAGACATGTTTTTGGACATATAAAAACTGAAATGAGATGTAAGTGTGTGTCTTTCTTGCTTACCATTGCAGGCGTTGACCACTGTATTGAGAGCCTCCCTGTAGCTCTCTGACATTTTCAGGCCTTCAACGTTGCTGACCAGGGGAATCATGCCCAAACCATTGAGCGGAGTGTCCAGAACAGCTGACACGAGTTCACTCTACAAACAACCAAGGAGGGAAACAATCTGTTAGAAACATGCACAACTGGGAATGAGCTCAAAGTCTAATCCAAACTCACTACTAACAGCAGGTGGCAGTGTGCACATAGTTGGTTTGCAAACCCACCAAGAAGCAGAAAGAAGAAGAAGCAATCATGGCAACCACTCGCTTGCTGAATCCATCCTCCTAACTGTGGATGGTGTGGATAGTGCTGAGATGCCAACAATCACTCTCTTTCTACTTCCTCATCTATCTTGCAGCTCAGAGGTCAACATGAGGTGCGGATACGGCAGTTTTTTTAAACAATGGGAGCTGTTTAGAATTCTGTCATATAGCGGTCCTCTTCCATGTTTGAGCACTGATTACATGAACCACAATTTGGGATCAAGAGTACTCGGATCTGGGCCTGGGTCCGTAATGTGAAACCACCCTTATTGTGATTGGACAGTAATCCACTGTAGTATTATGTACAACGCTCAGTCCACTCACCATTGTAGGGCTGAACAATTCGCTATGGTCAGTGAAGCTCGACAGAAAGCGAGTGAGAGGTGTCTCCATGGGCTCCAGGAGAATGATGGAGGAGCTTGACTTTACTCGCTTCATCAACTTCTTCTGTGATGCTGCAAAAAAAAAAAAAAAAGGACATTTAGTAAGGTTTAAGGACAGAAAGATATACAAATATACATCGCAGAGGATTGTAAATACTCATCTCAGGATTGCTTTGCCGACCTGCAGCTTCAAATCTCTAATGTAAAAGTCGAACAAATGTCTTCAAACACATCAGGTGAGCTGCTTTTACCTGATGACAGATACTTTCTTAGGATGACTGAAGCGTCAGTTCTGTCATTTCTGGCGCGATGAGAGCTTTCCAGAGCTCTAATAGTCAGCGGACAGTGTGAGGCTGGGGAGAAAAGTGGATAGGACTGCTGGCCTTCTTCAATGGTGAACCCCATCACCTCCACCCGACCGTACAGACTGGTCAACAAGCACTTTCCACGGAAACACAGCGTCTGCAGGAAAGAAACATCACTGTCAGTGAAAAAGAAACAGACTAAAGTCGGCAAATATTTGTCTCAGTTATTTCCAGATCGTTACAAAAATATCCTGGAATAGAATTGAAAAGAAGAGAAAACACTTTTCATGCAAAGGCAGAAATGTGTGACTGGTGTGTGCAATATATGCATTTTTAAAAAACACAATGCAACACCATTTAAACATACACTTAAAACAACAGAATAAAAAACAATAGAGCTACATAAAAGGAGGGCCCATAACACAATGATCACATCTTCAAACCTCATGATCAGTTCTGTAATACGACTGGTGTACACACTGGACGACTCAGCGTTGGTACCTGATTCTCCTGCATGACGAGGACAGTGTGGTTCTGTCGATCGTCTCTCTCTGCACAGTAATGAAGGGCCTCTCCCTCCAGCCTACCCGGCCTTACATCTTCGGCGTCGCCTGAGCTCTCCACACCGTTCCTATTAAAGGACTGGGAATACTCCTTCCACTCCCGTAAGTCATCCGACTCCTTTTCCACGGGTGACACCGAGCTTCCGTTAGCCTGAGCGTGAGACTTCTTCAACCCAGGCTGAGGAGTGTTGTTTTTCTTCTTGGACTCCGAGACGGCCTTTGCCTTCTTCCTCAACCTCTTGACGGAGGGCTTCTTCTTCTTCTTCTTCACCGCGGCCGCCTGGTGCTCCTGGATCACCTTGGCCATGACAGGACTGGAGTTGAGGTCCGAGGAAGTGATGGGAGGCCTGCTGCGTTTGCCTCTCACATCCTTCCACTTCTGAGATTTCGCCTGGCCTTTTACCTGCGTGGGTTTGCTCACCTTCATGATTTATAATGATCGTTCATGTAGGTTATGGAGGTAAACGAGGGGGGGGGGAGCCTGCAGAAAGAAAAGCAGAAAATATAGTAAGTGGGAGGACATGTATGCACGGACTTGCTCCTCCTCCTTTGAAGGACTTCATAAAGCTGAAGTCTGCCAGTGGGATCGGCCCCGGGGGCCCACAGCCCGAGAGGAGACTGTGAGGTCCCACACAGACGCACTACATTCAAACTGTTCTGTCAGTCAAAAGGAAGTTAATATTACTCACAGTAAGAGACTCACAAACATATGCAACCTTCAAAACACACCTCAAACAGTCTGTGACCACCTTTAACCTTTAACCTCTATTACTGTCTTGTGTCACTTGTGCCTTTGTGTTTGTATTTCTCTGTTACCTGCCTAGAGACAACAGATGGAAACTCGCACTTCTGCTATGATCTGGCATCTTTTACAGCTGTTCATTAATATGCACTGTCCCTAACAAACAAACAAACAAACAAACAAACAAATAAATAAATAAATAAAAAATGTATAATTCTTCCATTTAAAGAATGCAAATGAATAAACATCCAGTATTTTTGCACAGTGCCATTAGATTCATTTGGAGCTTGATTATCAGATAGCAGATCAAAGGTAAGTTTAGTGAATTTAAATGTTTCCAGGTGAAAAGCAGCAACAATGTTTCTAATGCGTTAGGTTCGGAACTCTTCACTTTCACAACAAAATGGGAAAACAAACTCACCCCCAACTCTGCAGACAAAGCGCAGAACACTAGAGACCAACCTGAAAAAATTAAACTGAATTAATTTAGTTCACTTTTGCCACATGAGGTTTCAGAAGCGGCCCGACTGTTACCAGCTAGTAGGCTAGCTTTACATGTGTGAGCCACAAACAGACGCCGCTTCTAGATGGTCGACTATAGCGTTACCCGGAGTTTGTTTATTTACCCAGAAATTATAAAACAATAGTAAGAAACTATTTAAACATATCATACAGTATATTTAAAATTAGTAAAAGTCCATAAAGAGTTTAATAAATATTTTTGCAGGTATAAACTTCACGTCATGGACGTTCAGTTTTTGTGTAAATAATGGTCAACAAAAATCTTTTCCGGAGTTCTGTCGCGTAACTAGCGTCACTTCCTTTCACAGTTTTTTAGGGGCCTACAAGAAACGAAAAGAAGGAGCTTGTAGCTGCTTTGCGTTTTTAAATTATTTACAGCACGCTTGAAGCAGGTGTTTTCAACAAGAGAGCGTGAATGTCTTTTTTTATTTTATTTATCGAGACTGCAGATGTGAGCGTTGAAGATGCAGCTGTCCGGTTCGTACCTCGCTAAGGGAGCGTCTTAAAATGTGTGCTAAGAAATAAACGTCGAGGTGCGTAGATAGCAAGGGGTTTGCAATAACTTAGAGAAATGTGTTTCTTCCTGGAAAATATATTTTTTACTTTATGTTTTTACTAAATTTAAAGAACTGGATAATGCAGGTTTGTATTAATCTCTTCAAAATGTTAAAATTTTAAGGTTTAAGGCTGCGTTTAAAGAATTCGTAGCTTTAAATTACATTAACAAGGCACACTGGGACTCAATTACATGAGTGCTGCAGGTTAAGGGTACCTGGACTGTTGCTGAATCTCAAAATGTATTCTATTCGTTTGGCATTTCAATTATTTGGACTCCTAGACTATGAACATTCACTATTTTGTGACCTTATCTAGACAAAAATAATTGCTTTATTGCATAATCAACAGAACAATTCATGTTAAAAGGCATGCATTCCAAGCCATAAAGTATAATAATTGATAGAGTTACTTCAAGGTTACGAAAAACAGTGTTGCATGGAAGTGCTAAGTGAAAAAAGTCAAGTAATGATTTACAAACATTCACATTTTCCTGTGTCTTCTGCAGCAGCAATTAGAGAAACAGGAGGGATGTCTGCAGCAGACAGCAGCCATGCACAGCGTGTCCTATCCTCCCTGAACCAGCAGAGGGCAGTAGGGAAGTTCTGTGATGCAGTGTTGAATGTGGGAGGTGGAGTGGTCTACCTGGCCCATCGCAACATCCTGTCATGTTTCAGTGAACTTTTCCATCCGCAGTCCAACATGCCCTCTGCACCGAGCACGGAGCTCTGCCTTCAGGAGTGCCCAAACGATGGCCTGGAGCTGCTCCTGAACTTTGTCTACACTGGAAAGCTTACCCTGGACGCTGAAAACCTGGACAAGGTGCAGCGTGCGGCGGTCAGCCTGTGTGTCCCAGAAGCAGTCGCTCTCTGTCAGCAGTTTAAGGAATCATCTGGGGATGCTGCTCCGGTGAAGCGAAAAAGAGGACGGCCAAGAAAGTCTGCACCAGATTCAACCTCGTCTTGTTTAGTTAAAGAAGAGAACTTGCCCATAATCACAAAAGAAGAGCCCAGCTTTGTTGCAGTTGCAGCCAATTCAAGCACCACCAGCACCGCTTCTACTACCACACGCTCTGGTCGGTTAGTAAAGGGTCCAAGGCGACTGGTGACTGATGAAAGTCCTCATACTGATTATACAACCCTAGAAAAAGCCTGCAAGAACGCTCCAGTTGTTCCATGGAGAGAGAAAGTGGTGATGTTGGTGTGGAAAACCAAAACCAGCAACTTGAAACTGAGGTAGAATACATGAACATTTTGTAGGAAAATGTGTTACATAGGTTAGGCATTAGTTACAATATGTCACTACAAGAACAAACATTTCTTTGTGCTTTTTGCAGGTTACAGAGCTTCAGATCGACTTAAATGAAAGGGACGTTGGCCAGGTCGCTGAGGGAGCAGTAGAGGAGGAGGATGATGATGATGAGGACGTCGGGGATTTTGAGGAGTTGAATGAGGACACAGATGAGGAGTACGTCCCCGTTGCAGAGCCAAGTTCTTTAGCGTCATCCACGTCAACACCCCGAAAACGCAGGGCCACGAGTAAAACCGAGAAAAAGGAGAACGGCGAGGAGGTGGAGGAAGACTCCAAGAAGGACTGTGTGCGGTGTCCCGTCTGTGACAAATCCTTCAAGAGCAAATACTACCTTAAAGTCCACAACAGGTATGCACATGTGTCTGCGTGTTTTCATTTGAATTTTAGTTCAGATAAATAGCGCCAATGTGTTTTTGTTTTCCCAGGCGGCATACAGGGGAGAGGCCTTTTGGTTGCCTTAAATGTGGAAAGAGGTACTTTAGAAAGGAGAATCTTTTGATACACGAGGTCAGAGACTGTACCAAAGTGCAGGTGAGTAAACAAGAGAAAACAAGAAATACAAGAAAATAACATTTGTGTTCACTGCAGTAAGACGTCTCAGAAGTAAAATATATAATACATCATCAACTGTTATATAACTACAGACCTATACGTGCGTAACGTGCTCGGCAACCTTTAATGGAAAAGAAGAGCTGCGTGTGCACGTAGTCAGCCACACAGGAAATATGCCCTACAAGGTAAAGCCTAAATCTCCCAAATTTTGAGGAAACGTAGCACAGAATGTATATATACATCAAATACAGAATTATTCTAAAATATTCTATCGTATTGCTTCATTTCTTTCAGTGTTCAACATGTTCTGAACAGTTTATGTACAAGAAAAACTTGACGACTCACATGATGAAGGTCCACGGTCACCCCAAACCAAACGCAGTGAGTGTTAATGTCTGTCTTTGTGTAACATATCCTGTGTTTTCATATGAAGCCACGTTCGTATCCAAGTACATGCCTGTGGGTTTCCATTCTGTCATAACAAACGTTTTTACTTTTAGTGCCCCCAGTGCCCTAAAACCTTCCTCACCAAGTCAGAGCTGCGTGTGCACGAAGCGGCCAAACATCGGGGAGAGAAGCCGTTTGTGTGTGAGGAGTGTGGCCATCGAGCGTCCAGTCGAAACGGCCTGCAGATGCATATTAAAGCCATTCACAGGTAGTGTAAAAATGTTCTATTTGACAAGACTACAGGGACATAGACACAGACTATATAAAAATATTCAGAGCTCCCCCTGCTGACTGGCTTCAGTATAGGTCATAAACCCCTCCTCAGATGTGTAAACAGATGGGTTAGCGAAAGGGGAAGGACTCTGGCTCCAAATTACGGCATCAACACAATATGTCTGCGCACATCACTGTGGTATTTTGGCTTCATGGAGATGGAGACATGCTGTCCATATTTATAGACACCCAACAGAACTCGATCTTTATAAATTTAGCTACAGATAAATTCAGAGATCCTTTTTTCTTAGCACACTGTGACAGCCTGTATTCAGCTTCTTCTTTTTTTTTGAACTCTGGTTCTGCTTTACAGGAATGAGCGTCCTTTTGTGTGTACCTTGTGCGGCCATGCCTTCTCCCAGAAGAACAACCTTAACATGCATCTGCGCATACACAGCGGGGAGCGGCCGTACCAATGTCACTCTGTGGAAAAACCTTCAGGACACAAGGTGATCCATTCTTCAGGATCTGATGCAGTTATTAGTCGTTGACTGACGCAGATATAACTTAAATCACTGACTTTTTCTTCTTGCAGCCAGTCTGGATAAACACAACCGGACACACACCGGGGAGCGTCCTTTCAGCTGTGATGTGTGTGAGCAGCGCTTCACCGAGAAAGGAGCCCTCCTCCGACACAAAGCCAGCAAGCACGAGGAAGGACGCCCACACTGCTGTCAAATATGTGGCAAAACCTTCAAAGGTTAGTGAGATGTTAAAAGAAGCAATTTCATTATCAGTTTACAAAAAAGCATTGGTTCAGACTTCCAAACGTGATTTGTCTGTTTGTTGTATTTTTACTTCTCCAGCCAAAGAGCAGCTCCGCGTTCATCTGCGTCGCCATAAAGGCATGAGGAAGTTTGAGTGTGTCGACTGCGGCTACAAGTTCACTCGGCAGGTACGCTCACTGAAGTCACCATCTGCATTTGATGTGTTTTTTTACTTCCAGATTTATTTTTTGTGTGTGTTTTATATGTGAAATATCAGAAAACACATTAAAAAATAACTTAAAAGCCCAAAGTGACATCTTCAAATGGCTTGTTCTGCAAAACAATTCTCTTCATTTATCAGCTGATTATATGCTTCTGTGTCGTCTGCCTTTGTCTTGACTCGGTCTCGATATCTAAATGTCTTGGTCTTGTCTATGTCTCTGAGCACTCTGGTCTCGGTTAGTGTGGTCTTGACTAAAACACTAGTAGAATGTAAAATATAAAAACACAGTATCAAAGATCTTGACGACCTTATTGCTGACTAATCCGGTTTATGAGTTTATTGTTACATAACTAAAATTCTCCAACTCCTTTTTTTTTTTTTTTTTTTAAATAACTCTCTCCAAACCCTCCATCTATTCACACGGTCTGCTACAGGCTCACCTGCGACGGCACATTCAAATCCACAAACGCACTGAGAACTACAACCCGCGGCAGAGGAAGCTGAGGAACGTGATCGTGCAGGACGTGGATGGAAGTCCTTCAGAAGATCCGTCGCTGATGGCAGAGGAGTCCGACTACAACCCTGAGACTGACGACGTGCAGGAATCCTCCAACCCAGCGGCAGACTCCAGGCTCAGTTCCAGCTGCGTCGTGAGGGTGGTGATCGGGCCGAGGGAGGCGGTGGTGATGGAGGAGGAGGAGGAGGCGTCAAACCAGAACCTTGGACATGGGGAGGCAGCAGACAGTTTCTCTGTGCCCGAAGTGTTGCAGCAAACACGGCTGGACGGTGAGGAGTACGAGTCCACGTTGGATATGGAGGGAATGGTTGAGAACATATCAGAGAGTAAGACCTGATGACCAAAACACCAACCAGAGACTGTGCAACCAGCTCAGAATGACGGAGAAGACTTCCTTCCTACATAAGAAGCACTGAACTTGTTATTTGAACCTTGACCTTACAGATCAGGAGAAGAGAATAAGCTTCAACAAAGACAAAAACCTATGAATTCCTCCACATGGAACTGCATGCTTCTGACTGGCTGCTTGAATGTTTAAATGTCTGTTTCTTTTTTTTTTATTCAGCTTCTTTTTATCACCTTGAATCTGGGGAATAAGAAGTCAGATCTTCACTGGTGTTCGGTTTTGGTTTTTGGAAGTATGTGCCCTACTTTTGGAAAGTATCTAAGTGCCAATGTGCTGGAAAGTTGCTGGTAAATATTTCAAAATGCTAAAAATGTCACTTCTGTTAAACACAAGCCTACTGTACATCCAGAAGCCTGTTAGCTTAGCTTAGCTTTGCACAAACGCTTGACACGCAGAAAGAGATCGCCTGGCTTTAAAACGTTTCTTGTTACCAGTTTTTACATTTCAAGTAGTAAAAACTTCCAAGTGACATTTTTATAGAAGCTCCACGCTGTTTCCTGACACGACCAAGCCTTATTGATTAACAACAAAGAAAGAGTCCAGTGCATACAGCCCAGGAAGCTGCTCATCTGTCTTTTGGCATCCTGTGTATGTTATCTATTTTCTGATCGTTCTCTTTAACCAGCTAACGTACAACTCTGTAAAACATTTTCCCTTTTCTGCATGTTAACAACAGCATTTTGTAAACTGAACCAGTGACAGCAGTGGGAATAATAAAACGACCTTAGAGAAGAAATCAATGATCCACCTGATGGTCTGGTTTGCTTTTGCATGTCATCAAGATGCACTGACATCGGGCTATTTTATAACCTGTTAAAAACTCCTCACAGAAAGCGGACAGTATCTTTAAAGTTAGTTTCCACACATCACAACATCCTTTCTATGAAATAAGACGCCACACAGGTTTGTGATTGTATGTTTAAAAAGATAAAGATTTATAAGTGAACGCATCAGCTTACTCATGCTATTTATAAAAAAAATAACCTCGCACTCTGCTGCAACTACGGTCCAATATAAGAAACACATTAGCAACATGCTAACAGCTCATCAAAGTCTCTGATTCTGCCTGCAGTTTTCATTTCTGACACCCACACTGTAAACACTGCACAGACACAGTATGCACGGCTAATCATCACTGTAGTTACAAAAATTAAATCAAAAGCTTGTATGAAAACTAAGAAAACATCGATGCAACAACACGTAAAACATTATGAACATTAAGGCAAAAACAGTTTTTCATGACAACAAACTGAGATGTTTTTTTGCACTTCCAGTTTTGACCGGTGACGCGCCACAAACAACGACCGTATGTTACTAATCTGTGATGCGTCTGGGACACCTTAAGCAACCACAGCACAAATATATATCCATAAATATACGTAAAAACATCTTTAAATACATCTCTTAGACAAAGTCCTTCATGCATATTCTTCTGGTGGTTCTAAAGGTTGATGTGGACTGATTTAAAGGTCTGGAGCGACACAAGGAGATGCCCTAATTATCATCAGCAAGGAAGACGACCCATCCTGTTGAGTAATGTGTTTATGATGCTGGATATCAGTTTGTGATTGCCATGTCTTCCAATGTAAACAAATTGTTTATGATTTACTGTTTTAAAACCTCCAACATTAGAGGACTAAATTATCAAAATTAACAAAAACACAGGTATGGTTTAAGGAAAGGAAAGAAAGGACATGTGGGGCTGTAAACGCCAAGTCATGATGTGCTCTCTGGCACAAACTACTAGAACCGGAGGGTCGCCGGTTCAAGTCCCGACCAAGTCTGGAAATTGGCCTGGTAGCTGGAGAGGTGCCAGTCCACTTCCTGAGCACTGCCGAGGTGCCCTTCAGCAAGGCACCGAAAACTGCTCTGGAGGGCTCGTGGGCATTTCTGGCACGTCAAACATCTTGACCAGCCGACTGCCAGCTGACACCCCAACTTTAGGACTTCTTTCCTGATTGCACCTCGACTTTTACACTACCGCACAGTAAGTCCAGCCTTTGATTAACAAGACGAGGACGAGTGCTTCTCATAATACATTTGAGAAATATATGCAGAGAGACCCCTGCCTTCATGGTTTAGTTTTTTTAACCTACATTATCGCTTTTTGATTTCCTAAATGGTCTGATAACACTTGGAACTAAGGAGCTCTGATTAAGAATTACTCAACCCTGAGGAGGTTTAGTTTGGTTAACTTCCCATGTTTCCTGTGTTCCTAACCCATCGATCAAGGGCAAGGAATGGCCTCTGATCCCTAAACTTGTCTACAGAATCCATCGTGGACTGAGCCCAAACAGGGCTGAGGAACACCTTCCTTCAGAGGAATTATCAGTTTGACAGTCAGGTGGATTAGAAGGAGCTCTTTGTACATGCTCAGTCTTCAGCGTTACGTTGAGGTCATGACACAAAGAGAACTGAGACTGAACACGACATCAGACTTTCAGTGTGCCGGGTTCACGTCCTGGTTCTGGTTCTGGTTGAGATTGTTGTTGAGATTTTGGAGCGCTAGGTGACGTTGGTGCCGGTGCAGGTGGATGGCGTTTGACTCCGGTATCTCTGTGGGTTCAAAGGCGCTGGACACCTGAGGCATGAACTGGCGGAAGATGCTGACGCTGCCGTGCCAGAACGTCGGCTGAGGGAGTCGCCCGGCAAGAGTCCACGTACGGGTGTTCGGGTCGTAGACTTCGACTACATCTGACAGCTCGAACGTGTTGTCATAACCTCCAGAAACGTAGATTTTACCCCCCAATACGGCCACGCTGCCTCCAACATGGACCTGCAGAGAGAGAAAAAAGAGGATTGAATTCTCTTCTAATTCTGTTTATTAATGGAATTTTTGTCAGATGTAGAACTCAAAGGTTTTGTTATCAAAAATATTTTCCTGTCAACAATGCTTTAAAAATATTTTTCCACCTTCATGTAACCGAACAAATGACAATATGTGAAACACAAACCTGGGTCATGGGACTGACTTTGTCCCACTCATTCTTCAGAGGATTATAAACATCCACCTCGGCCGAGTCATCTCTACAAAGAGAAACAAACCAGAGTCACACTGCAGACAAAAATTAGTTCATGCTAACTTTACTGAACAAAAGATTTTCAAATCATCAATCATATCCTACATTTTTAAAGTATTTAAAAAGCTAACTATATTACAGTCATTTTTACAAACTCATGCAGAAAGGTGTGTAATGATAAATCACATAAATATGGAATGAATTGAACTTTATATAACTTTTGTAACTTCTAACCTTTGCATTGAAGACTCTCACCTTCTTAACATGATTGAAACATGGCAACAATTATTTTATATTTTTAAAGCACCAAATCATTTAATGTGCTCTTATTTTTTAATAAGCGGTACTCATCTTAGGAAACTGAAAAAAGAAAGTTTATGATGAGAGTACAATGGCGCCCTCTTGTGGTGTAACATCAGAATGACAGTTGACAACATGACACAGTAAAGATTCCTTCATCACAACCTATGGATGATGTTGAGATGATGTTGAGATGTTAACTTATGTAATACATAGTACATTATTTCATGGGGATTAGGCTGGCAGCGCCATTTCTTAACATCTTTTCTCCCTCATGTTCATTAAGTAGCATTTCAAGAGAACAGCTGTATATTGTAAATAAAGCTTGTAACTGAAACTCACCTGATGAAGTAGATGAGGCTCTTGAGGGTCACAGTTTTTGGAGTGAAGGACCAGGGTGGCATCTGTCCACAGCTCACCATGGACCAGCGGTTTGTTTCTGCGTCGTAGCCCTGGATGGCCATGGTGTCCTCTCCGGTCAGAGAGCCAATGGCGTACAGGCGTCCGCTGCAGGTGGTGGTGGAGCAGTTGTCCATCGGGTGAAGCATCGGCGGTAAGGCCTCCCAGCAGTCCAGAGCGTGATCGTATCGCTCGGTGCTGTCTGAAGCGACGACGTACAGCTGACCTTTGAGCACACTGGTGCTGTGGTACTCGCGCGCCTTCAGCATGGGCGACACCTCCGTCCACTCGTTCACACTGGACTTATAGCGCCACACGCCGTCGTAGAGGCGAGAGCCATCAGAGCCACCTGGAGGTAAAAGACATGGTGTGTCAAAACTCAACGCCGCTTTGAAGATGCTTATTATGAGTTTTCGGACATCATGATGTACAATAAGATCAAAAACAAAACAAAGGAGGAGGTTCAATGTGTCAGGAGGTATTTCAATCTTCTAGCTCACATAAAAATAAAAAAAACACAAAACAATGATAATCCACCTACACAAGGATCCCTGAACACTTCTGAAAAGATATATCGGCCCATAAAGAAATATGATTATGATTTTTTTGTTAAAATATGGGGCCTTCCATGTTTAAAAACAGGGTAAAAACATCTTAAACCATATCCCTGACTTTCACGACACATCTGTGAAAACCTCGTCTGTTTTGAGCCTATAAAAGCAGCAGATCTGTCTAACTGCAGCGATTGTATAATTCAACCTACCCAGTTGCATAAAAAGTATCTCATATCTTTGTGAATGAAATTGTATCCAAGGATATAAAAACGTTGTCTGCCTCCCAACATTATGCAATTCTGCTGTTATTTCTGTCCCTGCAGCCCTGAGCTAACAACACGGCTAAATTTGCTGTCATGCAAGTAACTCAAGCTCTGACTGAAAGAATAAGACCATTTCTCAAAAATATCGACCAGTCAGCTGGTGATGAAGATGCTCGTGATGACACCACTGTGGTGCTTTGGCAGCACACCATGTCCTGCCTCACTTCGCCTTGTTCCCACATGGAGCCGCAGAGGCTGCAGTTTATTTATAATCCTGACGCACGTTTCATAAGGTGAAGGAGCGGGAATGGAAATCTACTGACTGCAGCGTTCACACTACATTATATCTAATATACACACTATTCTACCCACATCACACCGTCTGTTTATGAAGTCTTTCCGTCAAATGGTCGGACATCAGATAGAGCTCCGAAAACACAAGATTTTGGTTCAACAGTTTCAATACCATGGCAACAAAAATACAAGTCCTAGGCACACAATATTGGGTAATTTCTTGTTTTTAATAACCAGAAATTGCAAGCAAGCTCCTTTGGAAATTGCACAAATATATATAACATTGTATTAGTGCAATTTAGACAGTGTAACCGTCTCTGCTCTCTATCAGTTTTTAAAAGGCATAAACGTGACTTTTGCATCTTTATCAGACGGTAAAATGGCTGGAGAAATGTCAGTATTTGCAGACCTGTGAAAAATCAGATGCTCTCTCTCCCCCCCCCCCCCCTCTCTCTCTACCTTTCATGCAGCAACTTTAGGTTCAAAACATGCCAGAAGATCAGAAGTGTTATTTAAAGCCTAGGTACGTTATGATACTATTGATCATTGAACAGAAGTTAGATAGTTTTAAAACACATGATATTGAAAAGTCTCTTAGTATCTTAATTTTGACAACCTCGTTAGTGAAGTGTTTGAAGGTCTTCTTACCTGAGACATACATATCGCTTCCGAGGGCAGCTATACTGTAGCCTCCTCCCAGGTGATCAGGGAACTCAGCCAGGTAACGCCACTGGCCAGTCTGAGGGTTGTAACAGTCCACCGTGACCAGCTCATCACAGTCCTGATCACAGCCTCCGACCACCACCAGAATCTCAGCCAGTCCTGTGGACGGTCGAGGCCTCATGCGGTGGCAGGGCCGGTCATGGCGGTCGTACTCACAGGACTGGAAGCTGCGAGCTTCATTGACCATGCGGAGGCAGGTGGGCGACAGGTAAACAAGCGGGTCGCTTTCAACGTGGGCCAACAGGAAGAACCTCCTGACAAAAGGGAGCCGGACCTGCTGGAGGAGCTCAGGCCAGTAGTGCAGCCTCCGCTTGAGATCAGCCTTCACCCAGCGCACAGCGATCTGATATACCGTCTCCTCCTTGTCCACGCAGAGCTCATCCTCTGACACAAACTCAAGGAGGCGCTTCCATGACAATCGCTCAAAATCTGTCCCTTTAGCCAGCTCCATTATGTTTTTCAGGACAAAGCGGCGAGCGCTGGTCGCCAACCCTCGGCAAGCAAAAGCCTCTGCAAAGTCCTGGATCTCTAAGCAGTTTGAAACATCGAGCCGCTGCTCCAGAAAAGCACAGCAGGCCTCTTTGACGGAGGGAAACTGAAACAGATCAGCCGTCTTCAGCAGGACGTCCACGTTGTCCTGAGTGACTGTGACCCGTCCCGTGTAGCAGAAGTCCACCAGCAGACCTAAAAGTTCCGCTGACACCTCGTGTAGAACCACCCGGTCCATCGCGCTCTCCCTCAGAGTTCCTGCAAACATGGCTCTGAAGTAAGTGCTGGCAGCGGCCAACACTGTGCGGTGACAGTGGAACTCGCGGCCCTCCGCACACAAAGTCACGTCAAAAAACTTGCGTTCTGCGCGGAGCTCATGGATCCCCCGCAGCAGGTTGAAGGCATGGGCTGTGTCGAAAAAAGGAAGGGTGGAGGGTTGTGTCTGCAGGACTGGTTTTTCCATCTCTCCTCTCTGGGTGTCTCAATATTTGGTCGTTGTGATCAGAGTGAAGTTTTCATCTAGAACAGACCAGAAACATACATTACATTCAAGTCAAACAAGTTAACAACTAAATGTGCTTTTTATTGTCTAATCTAGCAACTGTTGGTCAATGATCTAAAAAATGATCTTGTCAAATTACATCAGTTTCATTTGGTCCCTAAAAAAGGAGCGAACCTTCAAAACTGAGAAACAGATCAAAGGTTAACGTGACATTTCTGCTTAGGAAAAAGATTTGAATAGTGAAAGTTACAAATAAAAAAAAAGACTGACCGATTTTCTGTCTCTCAAAAACTCAATAAAATCAACTCAGTGTAACAGCTATTGTAGCATGTTACACTGATTCCACTGAATCCTTACACACTTTTACTTAAAGTATTTTGAAATTGCTGTGATCATGTTAACAACATGAACGCAGCAGAGATGAACAAATTGAAATCTTCAACCTTAGAGCCACATGTCTTAAAGCTCTACAACGATACCTCTAAGTAGTATCACACACAGCTGCTTACTGATAAATCCAAACAGTCCTTTTCCTACCTGTCGAGCTCTTCAACAGGAAAATACAACAGCGTCTAGAAAATACAACAGCGATACTCAACAAAACTCTGGTGAACACGACCAGCTCCTTACTCGTGTTTAAGAAAGAGAGCTCGCTTGAGCTCAGGGGCTATAAATACACCCGCAGTGTCCATTTCCAGGCAGTATTGGCAGGGGGGGGAGGACACCTAACAAGCAGTGGGCTTACGCTCTGTGGAGAGTATAAACCCCCTTCCACTCCCACTGGTATGTCTCTGTGGCCAGTCATTGTGAGTAAGAGGTCTTTGAGAGAGAAGCCAGCTGAGCCCGGGCCCCTTCACCATCATCAGCAGAGAAACATACCAAAACACAGAGCCAAGACCAACTGTCATGACTTTCTGCAATCTGCGTCAGAAGCAGAAAGAAAAAAATGATTCTGTAGAAAATAGAGCCTTTAAGACGCACAGGTGTCATGAATGTTGGTGGTTAGTGAATATAACTGCAGGCGAATCAAGCGACTTTTATGTTTTGCAGTCTTAAGTATCAAAGAGTTGTCACAATACCAGAATTTCATTCTCTGATTAATTACTGGTAAAGATTAATTTATATCAATACCTGTTTTGATAATGGGACAACAAAAATAGAAATCCTAGGCAGCCAGTAATGAGTAATTTCACCAAATATTTGGTAAAAACCTCAGAAACTACTCACAATCCAGTTCACCTCTATTACTACTTTTTGTGTGGTGGTAGTTTGAAAATGCTTGATGGTGAAAATTTGTAAAGAAAATGATCAGAAAAAAATCACACAAAAACAGGCAATTTCTAACAGAGTATTTTCGGGTTTGGGCTCAGCATGTCACTTCAGACTGTGGGACATTGCTATGACTATTCATTTAAATATTTCCTTACATATAACCCTACTGTCTTTCCTACATTTGTGTTCAGACTCTGAAGTTTTCGTTTCTTACTCAAATTTGTTGGGAAAAACTACTTTAGTTTGGTCAAAGAAATGGTTTTTAAAATATATTTTTTTAAATCCTAGACTGTATATTTTAAGTCATTCATGACTCTTTTATTAGTAAAGTTGGTTTTGGATTTAAGATTTTTGGGTCAACAGGAGGAAAGACACATGAAGTACCTTGGACACCCTTTGACACACTTTGATACACGTGATTACACTGAAAAACACAAGTTGCAGTTGAGTTAGTACAACCCTGATTTAAAGGCCTATCTCAAACACTTGACAATATTTGGAGATGATCACTCCAGCTCAAAATACACAGGTATCTGCTTACATAGATTTGCTTAAAGGTTGTTATAAAGCCCCCAGCAGGTCCCCCAGCCAAAGGACTTAACACAAATTCCTCATGAGGGTTCAACAATGCATCGGTGCACACAGCTCTGCGAGGGATCAGGCTGAACTCCTGAAGGGCAGACAGGACTTCAAAACCAGACCTGCTCCAAGAAAGAAATCTGAACTTCTGTGGAAGAGATTGTGTGGACGCTACAGGGGATAATAGCATTTCCTTACATAGACGGGACAAGCTCCCCCTTTACTCTGTTGCCTATTTGATTTCTTACTCCCACTGGCCTTTGTTACAAATACTCAAAATGTTCTTTCATAAAAGTCATTCAACTAGAACATTCGTCCTCAAGCAAGTTTTCACAAGGAACAAAGTAGAGCCCGACCGATTCATCGGCCAGCCGATAATATGGGCCGATATTAGTATATAAAGGGACTATCGTATCGGCTATTTTTTTACAGATAAATGTATTCACCAGTCAAATAGCATTTCATTTGAGTTTCATTATATTACAATTGTATTTATGGATTACAACAAGCACTATCAATCTCCAGAGCGTCAAGCGGTGATGCTCATACGTGCACTTATTTTCCAGTTGAGTGACCATCATGTCTTCATTCTTTATCTTTTTCACAAGAGTTTGATAACTGCATGAGGGATAAATGCAATAAATGTTTATCTACATCTATCTATCTCTAAAGATCGAACATAGATCAAAGAAAGATATCAGCTGAGTTATCAATATCACATTTTTTTCTCTTCCTTATATCGGTATGAAGTGAACCCAATCATTTCTTATCGTCAGGCCCTAGAACAATTCTCAGTATCTTCCAACATCTCATAATGTTGTCAACATTTTAAGTGCTTCAATACTGTGATACCATGTGTTCTGAAATGAAACAATCTTTTTTTTATTTTAACGATTGATAGTATCAAAAAGTACAAATGCTTGAAAAAACTCAAAGATCTTCAGTCATACTGTGAACCAAAAGCTGGCGTGAGCAAAAGAGAGAGAACAGACTTTCTAGTTGCAAAAATACACTGGCAACGTTTCGGTGTGCAGGAGTTGCTTGTAATTTTTGTGTGTTTAAAACAAAAAAATTACCCAATATAGGATGCTTCGGTATTGAAACAGGTAGTGATGTTGTTTAATCCTTACAAGTGTCATATCTACGTTTAAAGTTTGGTATTGTGACTTGACAGCCCTAGCATCTTAAAAATCCAACAGTCAGAGAAATATCGAACAAACTTACAATCATCTCTAAAAATAGTTGACCGAAATTTAAACCCATACAGGAAGGCCGAGATGGGACGTGGTGAAAACAATCTTTCTGCTATGAGAGAGGAGTCCAGAGAGAGAGCAGTATGGCAGCATCTGACCGACACAACCTGGAGGACATATACAGTATGAGAAAGGGACCCTATGCCCTCCTTTCATCACGTACCAAAACAACATCAACCTGTCAGCTCCTCTGAGCTCATGACCTCATGACCTGCAGTTATTATATTCTAGAGAAAAACACTCAGAGAGGTACAGTGATGTTAGTCACAGTAGAGGACTCGAGTACCTTCCTTGGTTAAACTCCACATGATCGTCAGTGATTATTTCTATTCCTGGAAATATTTGATGATGTGTATCTGTATTTTGGAACTGCATAACATGAGTATCCGCAGGCTTACTACATACAGACACTTGTAAATAGATACTGTAGTGAGCCTTCAGTGACCAAATGAGCCAAATTATCAGAGTTTAAACATCCAACAACAAGACAGAGAGTCTACAGACAAATTATGTAAGACCACGTTCAGTGATGTTTTAACAGGCTACCAAGGAGGTCAGAATACAAGTAATAAGCACAATGACAGCCTGATCCGGCCGTTCCAGGAGTCGTCAGCCCTGAAAATAAATAATTTTACCACATATGTAGTGTGTCATATCGAACGGCAATCAAGGCCACATCCGAGACAGAAAGTCTAACATGTTTGATTTTTTTGGGGGGAAAATAGAAAAATATGAGCATTATCTTGGAAAATGTAGTTTTCAACTTTTAAATAAAAATAAACGCTAGATTTATACACAGCGAGGATGACTTTGAAATCACTCTTGGCGTCCAGGAGTTCAAGTATTCAGTTGGGCGGTGTTTATTCACAAGCTGTTCTGTGTATGTACACAGGGTAAATCAACAACAGGCTCGGTTTACATGAAGATGTTTAGTGTTTCTCTGTATCGCTCTGTTTGAATGATAGTGTTGCCCCTTGCTGGTGCAAATTTGCAATTACCATCAGAGACAATTTACATACATATGGACTTCAACACTGTTTTGAATAGATATCACCTCGGTATCACTCATCATAGCTGCAGAATAGCTCCCCTGTTTGCAGAATTACCCTGCAGAAACTTGGCTATTAATCATTGGCAATCATTTACTTTGCATGTAAAAAGCTTTGAATATCAAATGACTACATGACGTAGAACATGAATAGATGCTTTCAACGTGGAATAATTCAGACTTTAATTCTACCCATGTCAGCTCATTCTGCAAGATAACTGTGCTTAGATTCGTGTGGTCAAGCACAGCAGTGGGTAGTCTCACATCAACACTGAGACAGCTGGTCTCTCTGCTGTCGCTCCAGGCTGCTGGGGCCAAGTCAACCATCAGAGCGGGGTGACATAAACCCCTGGTTCCCCACAGCTGAGGCTGGCCTGGCCATAAAAAGGCAACCACGCCAACACACTCAACTCATGCCCCACAAGAGGAGGGCCTGAAATACTGACAGCAACAATACTCAGATAAGAGGACGGAGGGATGTTTCACATACCATGTCCTTAAAGAAATGATTGCACATTGTAAATCTGTAATATACTTCAAACAACAGCAAACATTAGGGAAACACTGAAATTACTAGTTTGACATGTTTTTGTTTATCTTTCCTCTTTATCATAAACAAGCCACTCACATTTATCTTGTGACTAGTTTGATATGATTCATTTTAAGGGCCGTCATCAATCCATGTTACGATCATCCAAATTGTAAAAAAGCAAAGGGCAATATCTAAATTACTTAACTTAGAATGTTTGATAAAGCTGAATTGTTTTAACAAAATACAGTTAAAATGAAATACTGTAGTGCTGCAGTCTGTCAATTCTGTGTATTTCAGACGGAAGTCAATATTCCAACAAATAAAATATCCTCATAGGGTGTAGTTTAGCTCAGTTGGAATAGCAGGCGCCCCATGTACAGAGAGTGAAGCCGTCATTACACTGCTCGCAGGTTTGATATATTTATCAATATGACTCTTTCAATTTCTTTCTGTGGATATGTAGGCCTATTAAAACCTATTCCATATAATGTAGCCCTAACGCATTGTCATAAATCAGACAACCACTGAATTTGTATTTATGTAGTTATAGTGACTTCATTTTAGCGCCTTTTGAAATATTTTAAACCCTGCATACTTGATAATTCATCAGTTATATTAAACAGTACAGCTTTCAATTGACAAACTAACAACAAGCTGGCTGGTGACTAGCTGGAGCTGAGGTGGGTTTTAAGCCGAATACAAACAGTTGACAAACTGTAACATTGCACCCGTATGTCAATCATGTCAACTACCCGCCTTATTGTTTATGAGCTTATCCTTCATAAAATCAAAACAGATGAATTATATAAAAATTCAACCGTGTACAGTGTGTGCCGATCGAGACATGAGATAATCAGCCCTAAATTATTTTGTTCTTTGTACCAGGATGTAAACATTTTCATCTCTGGTGTAAAAACTGTATTTTTTGGCTCGGTGTGTATGTGACTTCCAATACTTCCTAAACTAGCCTCAAGCGGACACTCGACAAACTGCAGGATTTGCACTTCTGCATCGGATTCATTTTTCCACATCGGAGGTTGTCGCTTGCAGAAAACATACAGGACAAAACCAGCGAAGGCGTACCCCCTTTGTCCACAGGAGTCGCCAAAATCAACACAACCAAAGAGTCATCACATGTTGGAATTTCAATTTGTGATGGAATATTTTCATGCTGTCTTAATCCCGCTTTTACTCAAATAAAAGCTCTCTGCTCTACTTTTCCACTACCGCACCCTGCTTAATTGTCCTTGACCAACTCAGTGAACTCTTTGTCGGGTCAAGTAGAACTTCTTATGACTGAGCTTACAGTCTGGATACACTGCCAAATGAATGAAGCAGCATTGTCCATTAATCCTGTATTAGGAATGCAGAGCAGAATACATTTTAGTAGCACCCAGGAGGCTTTCATGTTCTGTCTCACCAGGGGTAATATAAAATACAAAAACAATGTGCTTATTCATCTGCCCCTGCATTCCTCTAATTCCTGCTCCTGTCAACAAGAAGAACTGTTTTAGTGGCTATGATAAACATTTGCATTATACAGGCTATAACACCGCACAAGGAGGCCTCTGTGTCACTCTTCTCTTTCCAAAGCCATAAAATGATCATATTTAAATGTAGCACTTCATGCTGAACTAAACAACCAGGACCTGAAAATAATGGACAAAAAAAACATCACTGTCACATACTGAAAAAAACACAATCTACTCAGTTTTGAGAGCTTTAATGCATTTATGTTTCCTCAAACTTGTTTTTAAATGTATCAACAATCTGGCCCCTGAACCTCTCTCCAGATGCATTCAAAGACAGGACGGAAACAGGGTAACGAGAAGCGCTGGGAATGGAAACTGTAGCGTACAACATGGTAGATCTACGTTTGGTCAATCAGCCTTCTCCATCAAAGGCTGCAAACTCTGGAACACATTGAACACCTGAAATCAAATGAATCTCCGACTTAAAATCTTTTACAAAACAGGTGAAAAGCTACTTTTAAATAGTATCTTCAAACTTTATTTTAAACTGGTTTATAGCATTTGTATTGTTGTACATGTATTTTAATGTATCCTCATATCGTGTTCTGGGGTTTTATGCAACTGAATGTTGTACATTTTAATCTGTTTGTTTACACAAAGGCCCAACTGGGGACACAAATTGGAAATGAGCAATAACCAAATACTCTTTATGCAGCACATCAGTTTCATGCTTTGTATTACAATTATGTTAAATTGCATTGTCCCTATTTAAAATAAATAAATTCAATTCAATATAGCTCAGGTATTTGTCAAGTGTCAGTATACCAATAAGCGGACAAATCATTTATTATGCTGTTGGGACAAATGTTTATCTCTGCCTGTATTTTGGTATTTACCACACATAACGACGTAATACGTCAACGGTTGTCGTGGTTACGCGAAAGCAGAAAGTTGATTTAAGCTAGCTGGAGAGAAGTTGCTAAACATTTGTCTCAACAGCATAATAAGTGTTTGTAAGCTTCCTGGTAAACTGACACTTGATAAAATATAAAAATAAAAAAAAACATTAAAATAATCGTCATGTTTATATGAAGCTAGTGACGTCATTCTTCTTATCGGACACAACGTTACGGCTAACCGTCCTTCCCTGTGGTCCTCCCTCGGTTCGGAAGAATTAACGACATTAAAAACAGACCAAATCAAGCTAAAAGCAACTTACCAGTGTGTGACTTCAACGGATTGTAACGATTCAACAAGTAACGCGTGTTAACGTCACACATATCGAGGTGAAATTAAAGTTTGACGCCGCGGTTCTGCTCGGCCTCCTCCGCGCAGTGATACCGTGCAGTGTCATGAAGGCTGCCTTCAGGGGCTGTCGGAAATATCTGTTGCAAATACGAAGTTGTCGTTGGACATATACAGTCATGACTCATAGCAGTGTCTCTACACATTATGTCGCATTGCATTGATGTTAAATTTGAATATCACATCTGCCACGAACCGTCCCCATGACATGACAACTATTTATAGCATTGCTATTACTACTACTAATATGCGGAATAATATGTATTAAAAATCATAGCAATGACACAAAATGAAATAAAAACTGTTGTAAATACATGTAGATGAGTCTTAATCATCTAAATCTTCAACAGCAATGGTTACAAATTATAATAGCCTAATTAAAACGCACAAAAAAATCTTGCGTGTATTAAATAAAAAAGTCGTCCTTGAATGCAGCATTTAAAACCTGTGCACATTTGGCAGATCTCATTAAAAGTCTATAAACAACTGGCTCCGCTCAAGAAAGTACTTTTACTTGTCTTCAATATATAACAAACATTTTAGGCATTTATATTTCAAGGGTCAACAAATGCAAAGTCAGTCTCTTGTTTCATAAAAAAAAAAAAAACAGTGAGGGGATATTGTTTTGAGGGGTAGTCCTATAAGCAATGACTAAAATAATCTTTAATAATAATAATGATAATAATACATTTTATTTATAAGCGCCTTTCAGGACACACAAGGACACTGTACAACAATCAACATTTTTAAAAACAGCGATGGATAACAAAAACAGCATACAATAAAGAAATGGAATTGTGGACAGTGTAATTACAGTTAAAATGTTAGAGTGAGTGGGCGATCTTGAACAGATGGGTTTTGAGTCTGGATTTGAAGATGGGGAGAGAGTCAATGTTGAGAATGTCAGGTGGCAGAGAGTTGCAGAGCTGGGGAGAAGAGCAGCTGAAAGCTCTGCCCCCCATGGTGCTGAGGCAGGCAAAGGGCACGGTGAGGTGGATGGAGGAGGAGGATCTGAGGGAGCGGGCTGAAGTGGCGATGTGAAGGAGGTCAGACAGTTATGGAGGGGCGAGGTTGTGGATGGCCTTGAAGGTGTACAGGAGGAGTTTGAAGATGATTCTTTGCTTCACCGGGAGCCAGTGGAGATGCTGTAGGATGGGGGTGATGTGATGGTATGAGGGGGTTTTGGTGACAATACGGGCAGCAGAGTTTTGAACCAGTTGGAGCTTCTGGAGGGATTTATGAGGGAGGCTGAGGAGGAGAGAATTACAATAATCAATACGGGAGGTGACGAGGCTGTGGACAAGGATGGAGGCAGTATGGGGGGTGAGGGAGGGGCGGAGACGGTTGATGTTTCGTAAGTGGAAGTATGCAGACCGGGTAATGTTATTGATGTGGGATTTGAATGATAGTGTGCTGTCGAGGATGACACCCAGACTCTTAACCTGAGGGGGAGGGGAAACTGAGGAGCTGTCAATAGTGAGGGAGAAACTGCCAACTTTGGATAATATGGATTTAGTGCCGACGAGAAGGATCTCGGTTTTATCAATGTTTAATTTAAGGAAGTTTGAGGAGAACCAGGATTTTATTTCAGATAAAACCAACCAATCAGACGGTTTCAATCAGATGTAACTGATGTACTTTTTCCATCATACATTTCTTATTTTTTTTAATGAATAAAACACAAAAGACAGGATAACAAAAGTTGTACATTTATATGTAGAGACATCTGTTTGTGATGATGTTGCAGAGAAAGACGGGTCAAAATCCAGGTTTGATAAAAAAAAAAAAAAAAAGGCTGGAGATGTCCAAGAAAAACTGAGGTGTAAAGAATTAGATAAAAGGAGGTTGAACACAATCAGGCTGCTTCAGTTTCAATGTATTGTGCATGCTTCTTCTCTGTCAATCTTTCCAGGATGTCCTCTCTGCCTTGCAGTGTTAGTCGATAATTAATTTAAAGTGAAACCCGACTTATTTTCTCTACTGCCCATATTTAAAAAGTAAATGTTTTCCCTGAGGAGAAATGAAACAAATTATTTTTGCAAATATACCTTGTGAATGATGTGATGTTTGCAATAATAGAAGTTTTAAAAATGTGAACCATTTCTAATTGCCTAAACCAACAAAACTGCTGCAACATATGAATATGAAATTGACCTTTAAATTCAGACTATCCCCATCAGACTGTATAAACTGTTCCATTGTGTTTTTTCAGTTGATTTGCACCCCATTTGAATCTGCAGAGCACTGGCAGGGAAAATCCACCTAAGGCTATTACAATGTTTAATTCAATAAAACTGCTTAAAATTCAGCCCAGCGAGGGACATATATACATTAAGCTATACCTTTACTGTCCGTCCCTCTGAGGGGGATAATGAGGAGGAAAGAAAGAGATGATGGCTAGAATGTAACACAAAGAGTAAAATCCCCTTCGCCGGGTAATTAAGAGTGACCTGCAGTTGAACTTGGTCCGCCCTCATTGTGTCCCTCAGGCGGATATCTGGAGATGTGGGAGCTGCTGACAGACATCTTTTAAAGGGGTCACTGTGACATTGTTCTTATGCAGCTGTGAGGAGTTTTTCACTAGGATTTAGACACATTTGGAATATGACCCACAACATGTCCTGAACAGAACAGGGATGCACTATCGAGACAAATAAACACTCAAGTAAGGCAAAGTTTTGAAGACAAAATGTTTACAGGTAGCAAACATTAGCTTAGCGTGCATAAAAAAAAATACTAAAATAAGACTGGAAGTGAAGGGAAACAACTGGTGCTTATCTTTAGCTAGGACCATGAAGGCATTGATAAAAACAGAACACTGACATACTATCACCATGTTCAAAAGTTAATAAGGTTAAAAACTCTAACATCCATCTGTACCAGAGCAGTATCATCCCTTCTTTTCATTGTTTATCTGGCTACTTGTTGAATGTAAACTAGTCACTCTCCTCTAACCTTTTTTATTTATTTTTAATTTTAAATATTTGTCCCTTAATGCTCCACTAGGTCATGTCCATCCATTCACACACTAATGGTAGAGGCTGCTATGTAAAGTGTCCATCAGAAGTAACATATCCGATTCATACACATTCATACGCCGCCGATGAAGCAGTGGGAGCAACTTGGGGTGAAGTGTCTTGCCCAAGGACACATCGGACATGTTGCTGCAGGAGCTGGGGATCTAACCCCCAACCTTCCGGTTGAAAGACGACCGACTCTACCAACTGAGCCACAGCCGCCCCCTTTTTGTCTGTTGTTTAGAGCTGGGGAAGAGGTGTACAATGTTTTTTAATAGAGCCCTTTTTATGACTTTTTTTTGACAAGAAACTATGCCACTAACATCACTTACACTTTGTTATTTCATTGTTTGTTCTTGGAAAAAAATATTAGTAATGGCAGCTTTGGTAAAAAAAAAAAAAGAAGCAAGAACAAACACATCATTAATTGACCAGAGCAGAGATAAAGTCAACTTGATCAACAAGTGGAGCCACTTTCCTCATTTTTGGTCCCAAAGTTTTTGGCTTTACAGTAAAAGATACTATTCAACACAATATTTTCACTTCTCCTCAGTGTAATCCATGTTACGACTCCACCCTAAGACCACCCACGTGAAAGGGGACCACAAGGCATGTTGGAGAGAAAAATGCATGTTTACACATGTTCAGTCACTAGATGGCGACATTCTATGGTTTTATGTTAAAGCCACGCTCCTAATCTGCAGACCACTGGCTCTCACAATAACAAACAATTAACTAATAATAACTAATTAATTGTGGAAAACTAATTAACAAGAGATGATCTTTGCACTATAACACTTCTGGGTTTCTTTGTTTCTGGGCTCTAAACAAACTTTGCTTCTGAAAAATTAAGAAGACGTATTTTTGTATTGTCAAGGATTTCACACGCAGCCTGTCTGTTTCCTGCAGACTCTACAGCAGCAGCTGAAGTGTCTCCTGTATGCAAAGGCTTTTGATTGACGCCTCAATCTGGAAGCAACTTCTAAATCTATTATTTAACAGATCTGTTTTTGTAAAGTCCTTCTACAGTTCTACCTGCCTACTATAGTTTCAACCTGGGCTGTACCATTTCAACCTAAAGAATGAAAACAAGGAGAAAAAGACTGTTTTTATGTAAAAGTTAAAAATGTAGATGCAGCTTTTTTTCATCTATATGTACAAACAGGGAAATCTATGTCTTACTGTAGGACAGTTATTCCTGCAGTGCTGAGTGGTAATTATTGGTTTATGCTAATGTAGGCTAACTGATGTCATGCCACTCAGTTGTGTCATCTCTAACCGATTGTAAATATTAATCTGTTACTACAACGCCGTCTCAACCTAACTTTCAGTCAACCTAACGGCAGGCTGAGAGCTGGAGGCCGGTTTTAAGCCTCTTTGACAAACCGTTACATCATGCCCACCTGTCAATCATGTCAGCTACACGCCTAACTATGGATAACACGTGGACTGCTGTAAAAAAAAAAAAAAAAGGCTTTTTTGACAGGGGTGTGTATGTGACTTCCAGGGTTCTTCGAGCCAGCCTCAAGCGGACCACTCGACAAACTGCAGGATTTTACACTTCCACATCGGCTTCATTTTTCAAGACCTGAAGTTGCCGCTTGTCTCTAATGCAACGTAAAAGTACTCTACATAACAGACATAATGACTTGTGAAGTGACATACTTCAAGATAAACTTGTGAGAAATCATTGAACATCTCCCGGGTTAGCATCATAGATACAAATTCCAGATGTGTAAAAATATTTCATTACATTTAGTCACAGTCATAAATGTAAGCAAACTATGGTTATTAATTACATTAATAGACTGCTAGTTTCTGAATCTGCTTGATTGCAACACCAGCCTGTTAGTGAGTGTAAATATTTAGGAGCCATTGATATTCATGTAAAATCCTTACTCATTGATTTGGGTTTGTCTCAGTGATGCATAACTGAGTAAGCAAACACGTGTTATAATTAGGATTACAGACAGACAAAGCTCACATTGTGTTCTGATTTTGTAACATTGTGGAGCTTTTTTCTTTTATTCCTGAAGAGTAT